GGGCCTATCTAGATGCCTCCATTGTTGAGCAGGCCATTTGTATTTCCTTCAATAATTTGATTTCCATTTTTTTAAAAATTTATTTATTAGTCGCATTTCTATGCCGCCCAACTCCCTAGGGACTCTGGGTGGCTTACAGCAAAAAAACCAATGCAAACAATATCCCGTAAAAAATATTTAAAAGAAAACATTAAAAACCCATACACTCCATTTCATGGCTGGGTCTCGCAAGATCGCCGTAACGAGATCAACGGCCCCAGGCCTGCCGGAAAAGCCAGGTCTTCACCACTTTCTGGAAGGCCAATGGGGTGGGGGTGGTCCAGACCTCAGGAGGTAATTGGTTCCAGAGAGCCGGGGCAGCCACAGAGAAGGCCCTCCCCCGCGGGCCTGCCAACCAACATTGTTTAGCTGATGGGACCCAGAGGAGACCAACTCTGTGGGATCTTACTAGTCGCTGGGAGCTATGCGGTAGAAGGCGGTCTCAAAGATAGCCTGGCCCTGAGTCAGGGCTTTAAAGGTAATAACCAACACCTTGAATTGCATCCGGAGACTGATAGGGAGCCAGTGCAGCTCACAGAGAATTGGTGTAATGTGGGTGTACAGTATCTAGGTGCACCCACAATAGCTCGCGCAGCTACATTCTGGACCAACTGTAGTCTCCGAAGACTGTTCAAGGGTAGCCCCATGTAGAGTGCATTGTAATAATCCAACTGTGAGGTGACAAGGGCATAAGTGACTGTGAGGAGAGCCTCCTGATCCAAGTAGGGTCGCAATTGGTGCACCAGAAGAACCTGTGCAAAGGTCCCCCTAGCCACAGCTGTCAGATGTTGTTCCAATCTTAGCTGTGAGTCTAGGAGGACACCCAGATTGCGAGCCCATTCTGAGGGGGACACTTTCTCCCCCCCCCAGGACCAAGGATGGACAATCGACATAGTCTTTAGGAGGCAATACCCACAGCCATTCGGTCTTGTCTGGGTTAAGTCTGAGCCTGTTGACTCCCATCCAGGCCCTCACAGCCTCCAGGCACCGGCACATCACATCCACCACCTCACTAAACTGATGGGGGGTGGAGATATACAGCTGGGTATCATAAGCATATTGCTGATATCCCACCCCGTATCATCGGATGATTTCACCCAGCGGTTGCATGTAGATGTTAAATAGGAGGGGAGAGAGGACCGAGCCCTGAGGCACCCCACAAATGAGGGGCCTAGGGGTCAACCTCTGTCCTCCTACCAACACCGACTGTGACTGACCAGAGAGATAGGAGGAGAACCACCGCAACACGGTGCCTCCCACTCCCAACTCCCAACTAAAAGTCATCTCAGAAGGATACCATGGTCAATGGTATCAAAAGCTGCTGAGAGGTCAAGTAGCATCAAAATAGAGGAATGACCCCCATCTCGGGCTCGCCAGAAATCATCCATCAGTGTGACCAAGGCAGTTTCCATTCTGTAGGCAGGCCTGAAGCCAGACTGAAAAGGGTCCAGATAATCCATTTCATCCAATGAACACAGGAGCTGAAGTGCCACCACTTTCTCTACAACCTTTCCCACAAAAGGTAGGTTGGAGACTGGCCAAAAGTTTTTTAATTCTGCTGGGTCCAGGGAAGGCTTCTTGAGAAGGGCCTTACAATCGCTTCCTTTAATGGTTGCAGGAAGGACCCCTCCCTCAAGGATGCATTAATTAAAGCCTGGAGCCAGCCTTGTGTCATCTCTCTGCTGGCTGAAACCAGCCAGGAGGGGCACGGGTCCAACAAACAAGTGGAGGATATTGTTTGTTGGACCCTTATCCATAATAAGGATATTATTATGGTCTTTTCTATTTGCATTTGCTATTTTTATATTCTCACATTTTATCTATAATTGTGCACCACCCAGAGTTGCCCTGGGTGAGATGGGCAGCTATATAAATTGGATTAATAAACGGTAAACAAACGGTAAGATTTTCTCTTGGTGTCCCATCCTATTTGTGATTGGATTCCTGCTTGAATTCTGATCGTGATATAGATGAACAGGTGACCCTAGCTACTATATAATGAGACCAGTTACTTTGTTCATATTAGAGATAAGAGTCCCAGGTTAGCAGCTGCTCTCAACTGTTGTTGATTCTGATGCAGCTATGGAAATACTAGGATACTTCAATCAAATGTACATATGGGAAGGATTTCAGAAGGCATCTCAGCTTACATGATGATGTTAAACACAGAGACTGACTTGATTTGAGCTCAGCTATAGGCAATTACAGAGACATATCCATATCATTGTCTTGGCAGCAATATGAAAGCAGTTTGCCATTGATTTGCAGGGATTTTGTTTTTTTATGCTTTAATCTATGCATTTTCCTGGTGGTCTCATGTCCAAGTACTGATCACTCCAATCTGCTTAGACTTTCTAGGATGAAGCAAGACTGGCTTCCACCTGCTGTGACATGCATACAGGTAGTTCTTGACTTACAAGATCATCCAAAATAACAACAGACCCCCCACAAAAGGTACTTATGACCCAGATTTCAAGGTACCACCCCCCCCAAATGTTAAAACAATAATGTTTTGGCAATTGACTTGCATTTACCAGTCCCCAGCCAAAAAACAAAAACAAAAAACCCTTTCATTGTAGATAGTTTGCTTAATGATCATGGCATTCACTTATCAACAACCACAAAAATTATTATAAAGTCAGGTTGGTTACATGAACACCTGCTTAATGGCCAGAATAATTTACAACCATAATTCTGGGCTCAATTCTGGTCCTAAATTGAGCACTACCTACATATTTATTTCTTGGATTGGATGTTCAATATCTGTGCCTCACAGGACCAGACCTCACAAAATTTGTCAGACAGATTTTTGATATGTCTAGAGGACTGAATATCATAGTGATTAGAATGCTAATGAGAGATTATGTATGAACAGAAGACCTGCATCCACACTAATTGGGGAATAGCTAGTTACCCCTCAATTTAACATAGAAAAGAGGAAGACAATCCAACACATACTGGCAGGGTATAAGATACAGGCAGAAACAGAATATACTAAACAGTACAACCAAGTAGCTGGCATTGTGTTCAGGAACATTTGCATAGTTTGTGGGCTATACACTCCCAAGTCCAGATACGAGAGCAATAACAGGGCTAAGATCCTATGCAACTCCAGATTCAGATGGACAGACAGATACTGGCCTATCAATCAGATATTGTCATAGTAGACAAAGATCAGAAGACAGTGGGGATGATAGATGTAACAGTAACAACAACATCACGAAAAGGGGAGTATGAGAATGTGGAGAAGTACCACGGTCTGATACTATTAAGGAACAACTCAAGATGATGTGGAAAGTAAAGACAGGTGGTAGCACTCAGAAGTGGACTCCTAAGCTGGGACAGTGACTCTAATGATCCCAAGGACAACAGTATAGCTCTATCTCATCATAGCTCTTCTTAGCTTGAAGATTATGATGAGATATGGTGAACTTTCATAGTTTACCCTCTTCATTTGCTGGAACAACCTCTCTGGGAAATTGAGGGTCACTATTTTTGCATTACATTGATCTGGACCCAAGAGTAGAGGAGATGAAATATTGTCCCATGTTACACAAAGAAATAATATTATTCATTATATCTATAGATCAAACCATAGGTTCAGAATAATGAAAGATGATATGGAATTACCCCAAACACCAACCCAAATTCACATAAAACGGTGATATAACAAGTCTATTGGGTCACCATCACCTGAATTTAAGATGTTTCAGCTGCCATCTTCAGAATAGAACTTTTTTTTAAAGCCTAAGAGCTACAAATTGCTTTTTAATGTTATGCTGGGATTCAGATTTCAAAGAACAGCTGGAGCTATGATAAAGCAATAAATAAAGCAGAAACAAGACTATTTTTACTACATCTGGTCAATAATTTCCCTCTTATATTGCTGGAGAGATTTTCTAGAAATACCACAAGAGATCTAAGAGATTACATTAAAAAATTGGTGCTAAAGAGTGTCAGAGAATTTCAGTGCAGAATTGATGGCAGAAATACATCCAATGTTGTTGGAGATATTGATTGCTAAAATAGATCCCTTCAACTTCCAGCTAAAATGGAATAGTAGCCATGGTTAAACATTAACTCTAATAAGCTTACATCTGCAGTTAAGCCAGCTATGACCTACCTATGAGTCTCCACCTTGAGTTCCATTTGGAACTGTCCAAGGTGCTAGTTTGAATCTCAACTCTTCTTTTTTTTTTTTTAAACCTAAACCTTGCCCTAAACCTAAATAATTTCAGAACTCCACTTGGGCTGTGACAGTCATATAGCATCTCCAGAAGATATGTATCAGCTCTACCTGACTACTATTACTAAGATAAATATAGTATCCCCCAGAGGATTCCAGTTTGCCCTTATTTTACATAAATTTATTTAATTTACCTTTAGTCCTAACTCTATTCGATTTTAGCTGTGCACAAAGTACAGTCATCACTTCACAATTCACCCGGATTCAAAATAGCATGGAAGTTTATTTCAGTTATTCATAACAAATTTTAAGGAAATGATTGTCTTTCCCCACATCATCTGAAAATTCCTCACAGAGACAAAGAGATCTGTAGATGGCTTCCTGTGAAGCACAAAGGCCTGCAATTCCTGGGTGGAAGGGCTTTCTATTTTCTCATAGGGGAATTTGGATCTCAACCAATGTTAACATTTTTGTTATTACTCAGTGTGACACATTCTCTGGAAAAGAAGAATGGAAACCATGGACAAAGGCAATAGATACATCTCTAAATCCACAGGGGAAGAATGGAAGAAAGTTTCTAAATGAAGCAACTTTCTGAAGTATGATTCATATTAAAACAAATCAAGAAAGGAGTCTTGATGGCTATAATAAGCTTGAACCGCTTGGTTACTTCTGGTTTATTGTTTAATGGCCATGTTCCCAGCACAAGCTATTGACACAGTGTTCAGCTTTGCTTCAAATTAAGAATAATGATAAAACAATGTCTCCATCTTACCATTTTGTACTCTTTCCAACTTTTTTGGAAATCTAGGCTCCCATCTTCTCGGTGCTGTATTACTGTCCAGCCTCCTCCTGCAGTCTCCATATTGCAAAAAACCTAGACATAAGAACATAAATGGATAAACATCTCTCTGCTAACTTGTCTTGAGCCAGCCTGCTCACTTTCCTACTGTCAATAATAGCCATTTCTTAGAAACAGTTACTATTAAGATAAATAATATGCTAATGTATAACTCCTGTCCCCCAGTTCACAACTAAAAAAAAGAGTTGGACATCAAGCTTATATCTTTTGATAAAACAGAATAATGCACTTAGTTTTTATTATAGGCCATCAAACTTTATGCAGTAATGAAATTCATAGGCTAATTCTTGAACCATTTAAATATTTTAAAATCTATCGCATCTAACTTCAATGAACACCAAAGTCAGATTTCCACCAGCGCTCATAAAATCAACATGTCACTGTTTTGATTTGGAGCTGGGGAGGGGAATTCCTCTGCCACTGCATTCTGAATTATTTTCCAGGGCAGTGAATTGCACCAGTCCCTTTTATAGGTGACTAAATGAGAGACTGTCTGAAGGGTTCCCTGGTTCAAGTAAGGGCTAAGAAGATCTTTATGCAAGATGCATTCATTGCAATTCCTTCTTAGCCATAGCTGTAACTTGCTTCATGAACTTGCAGGAACTGAAGGTCCAGGAAGACTCCCAAATTGTGCACCAGCTCCAAAAGCAGAACTGCAACCTCATTCATAACTGAAAATAAGAAACTCTGATCCTGGAAAAAAAAGTCCATAGTCCCAAAATCACTTGGCCTGGTCAAAGCTGAGCTTGAAATTCTTTCTCCCAATTCAGGGTCCCACAGTCTTCAGATACTTGGACAAAACCTCAGTAGCTTAAACCCTGGTTGGTTTGGGGTCAAGATATAATATTGGGTATTAGCTGCATATGGATGATACCTGATGGATAATGGATCATCTGCTAATAGATGATATTTGATTACAAACCTCACATAGTTGGCTCATGTAGTTGTTAAATAGAAGGGCAAAAAAGTGGATCCTGAAATTATTTCTCCAAAACTAGGAATCATAGAAAACATTGACCAGCTGTAACTGATGTACAATACTAGGTAGATGCTCTAGTGATACTCTCTCAATGCCTTTGTTGTGTCCTATTGGCTGCCGGCCCCTCCAGCAGCTGAATCAGAGGAGGAAGTAGCATGGGAGTCAGGGTCAGCATCAAGGCAACCTGAGAGCTCTGAGGTGGAAGAGGGAGTGGAGCTGGCAGAGAGAGAGAGAGAGGGAGGGAGGGAGGGAGGGAGGGGGAGAGAGAGAGAGAGAGAGAGAGAAAGAGAGAGAGAAAGAGAGAGAGAGAGAGAGAGGCACAGCCTGGGCCATCCGTCAACCCTCAGATGGAGAATCAACAGCCCCCAGGTCTGGAGGTGGCTGATGAGGAAGAAGAGGAACAGCTGGGTCCAGTGATTGATGCACAGTTGTGCAAAAGCATAGGAGAGGAGAGGTGTGGAAATCTGTGGGCTGATCTTGGGGAAGAAAGAGACACTGCTGCTAGCAAAGTCCCACCCTAGCTCTGGGGATAAAAGGCAGGGGGCAGATATGAATAGATGTGGCAGACAACTATTCATCTTTCGGATGGACGGACGGACTTGTTCGCCTGCGGTGAGAGAGAAACTTTTTTCTGGGGCTGCCGACACTCCTAATTAAAGGAATCTTTGAGTTAACTTCAGAGGGTTTGTCATGTTTTGGGAGCTGGGTCAAAACATCCTTACCATTTCAAGGTGGATTTCTGATGGTGCTCTACCTGAGGCTGCCTTTGAATATTCAGAACTTCATTTAATACAGAATACTATGGCCTATCTGCTGACAAGTTAGTCAATTCAGCAGTCACATTTGTTCTTGTATTTCTGCAGTCATTATCCATATGTTTTGAATACATTTCCAAGGTCTGGTTATTAATTGTAAAGTCCTTCATGGCTTGAATCCTAGTCTATCTTTGAGACATCTTGTTCTAGGTATGATCTACCCATCCTATACATTCCAGTGTGAAGCCACATTGTGTATCCTTGTTCCTCGTGAAGCTAAGGCAGAGGAAGGCCCCAAAATTCACCTTCTTTGGCTCAGTTTGTTCCACTGATGTAAGTATGTCCATTTCTCTGTTAGCATTCAGGAAACAATCCTTTTGGATAGTTTTTGGATTATAATTCATGGGGAAGGTGCTGTTGCCATGTATTACTAGCCAGGTTTATTACTATTTATTTACTTTATCTTTTTATTTTAATGATACTTTGTGATCTCTAGAAGCCATATAAAGTCTTGTCACTGTGGTGTCACAAAAACCTTGCAAATAACCAAAAATACTTAACTGCTTAACATGCACAGGAAAAAAAAAAAGATAAATGTGGTGTGTTTTGTATAGTAACCTAATTTGATTGTCTCTAACGTATTAAATCGCATGGATTTGATTTGTCCCTTCTATGTTTTATTTGTGGCATATTTTTTTCCCCATTTTAATTGGTGCTCTGTGACCCTTCCTTAATTGCAAGGTTCTAGCTATGTTATATATGTTTTGTTTCCTTCACAATTGTTTTATTATAAGAGCATTCTACCGTGTGATTGCCTTAGAAGATGATTATTAAGTTATAAAATACCGGGTTTGGCAACAGTGTTTGCTTCATGGTGATTCCTTATTCAATAGGTCTTCCGAAATATAAAACTGACCAAGTTGCATTCATTAGAGTACATTGATTAATCTATAAAAATATGTATAAAGTACCATCACTACCATGGCCAACACCTCCAACCTCCTGCTATTTTATGAAGCTTCAATTTCTGCTGTGTATTTTCCAAATAAATGGTTCGGTTAAATTGTAAATGCTCCTTTCAAATGCATGTATTTGAATGCTTATAATCGAGCCGGAGGTGTGCCAGAGCACTCTCATTGTGATCATGTAAGAAAAGACTGTGACTATACTCTGTTGTTGGACTAACAATAGGTTTAAAAGCTCATATCAAGTCATTAAAAGTCAGTATTATCTATTCTCATGCAGGATCATAAAAAGGAACCAAATTTATGCATTTGCTGTTAGTGTAAGTGTTGCCATTACCCAGTTCCTTTGAATGGTTTTCTTCAAACCAAGCTATTATATCTTTTGCTGAATCCATCCGATGCCTTTTGCCTGAAGATGAATGGTTCATACCACGGTTGCTTGGTTGTTTCCATTACATGACTTTGATTCTATTGTGTGTTTTTGATACTTGCACATACAGCCAAAGACTGCTGATTGTCTTTTGAACAGTGCTCCAAAACTGTGAACTTTATTTCAGAAAGAAAGGACAAAAATCCAAGGGGAGAAACAGTTTGGCTCAGGGCTTCCTTCCATTATGGCATTTGAGTTCAAACATTTATCTACTGCCTGGGGCTTCATTGGTCTTGGATTTATAGCAGGCAATTTTCAAGTAATTTTCAAGCATTATCAAGCTTCAACAGAACACAAAGGTCGGTCTTTTAAACATGTTTTTTTTCAAATATTAAATCTTTATACTCTGTGTAAAAAGTATATGTTTCAATGATGCAAGAAGGGAAATATGCATTGCATTTTGCGTACTTGTCTTTTTTATGACAAACTGGGATGGGAAAATAGAATAGAAGGTGTACAGAACTAACATTTTAAAAAAAATCCTTTCCTACATAAGTTTAAAGTTTTTGCATTCTGAGTACTAAAGGTATTACAAAGAAAGAAAGAAAAATGCACAATGACAGTGAGATTTACACCACTAAATTATTCATTGTGTGGTCTGCTCATCTCCATAGCAATGGATTGGATAGCAACACCTGCCACAGTAACAGGAGTGGCAGGGCGATTAAAAACATTAGCTTTCCATCATTCAAGCCAACAAATGTCCTTAACTGGCTCCCGTCCCAGACAAGGTCAAGGCAGTCAGCCATTAAACACCTTTTAGCATGTTTTGAGGTTGAAATCTGAACACACACATCGAGACACATAAGGAAACAGGCAGAATTTCACATTGTTCTGCTTTTCTGTTTTGACAATGGGTTGACTCTTTAAACTGGGCATGCTTATAAAATGATGTGGAGGAAGGACTTCAGGCACTGTGGGAGGAAGGTCACAGGACCAGGAACATATACAGGGTGGGATCAAAATTGGTAAGATGGTGGATGGAAACTTGCTCCTTTCGTTTATGCATCACAGCTGCCTGCATGTTCAAAAGAAGCAGGTTTTCATGAAAGCAGCTCCTCTTGTTTTCAAACTTCTCTGCCAACTTGAAGGGGAAAAGGTTGCAGCTGCATTAAGAAGTTGATTCCCTAAAAGTGAGGTTTCAGGTGCCCCTTCAAAAAACAAACAAACCCACATTTGTCCAGAAACAGGGGTATCAAACTCGTGGCCCATGGGCCGGATGCATCACACGCTGGCCTTGCCCACCCCCGGTTTAGCGAAGGGGGGAAAGTAGCGATACGTCCAGTAGTGGGTTTCAATTTCGTTTGCTACCAGTTTGCTCGTGGATGCGTGCATGCGTAAGCTTCTGCGCATGCGCAGAGACATCTGGGCAGGTGGGCAGAGCCTCCCACCACCACCGCTACCAGTTCACCCAATCCGGGACAAACCGGTAGTAACCCACCACTGGATACATCACATTATGACAACGTGACGCCACAAGTTTGACACCCCTGCCCAGAAACCTGAAAAAGGAAGTTTTATTGAATAGTAATAAGATGGGTTGCTCATCTTCACCTAAGACTTGGAAGTTTCATTTGTGAAGAAGTGGAAGCCCCGCTGAGAACAACTTGAACCTGTACTACCCAAGGGGTTCTGATGTATCGTGACTTCCTGAATTGATAGAGAAGTTTGCACTAGTCCTTTAAAAGAGAGAACTTCTTGTGTTATTGAAGATCAAATTATACTGAATATTTTAGTGTTTTTATATGAGTGGTTGCTCTACACGCTTCACTTAACATCATGGTAAGACTCCAGTCCAATGACTCTTGGTTGGATTGCTGGAGTAGTAAAGAATAATAAGTCTGGAAGAAATCATTCTTTATCCTAGTCTCCAGAGAGTTTCTTTTAGTCCACTTTATGGTTTGTTTGCTTTTTCTTACATAGAAAACTCTTCTGTATAGGAAACAAAGTACATAACTGAACTCTAATGTGCAGAGCCTTATAGCAAAACCTGAACATGGAGTTTTTTTCCACCTCCAATATAGCATTTGATTAACATAAGCAAGGTTGTAAAAAAGCCTATCATAAATGTACTTGAGAATTCTTTGCCGCCAAAAAGATGAATAGATAGAATACAAGGCCAAATTTATCCTAAAGACTTGAGACAGAGTGAAAAGCTAAATTTTCTTAACCCAGCCTCTCTTTACTTCTGTAACTCATATGACATTCTGGGAGTTTAAGAAAAAAAAATAGGTGCCTTTAGGATCTTTGGGACTTTGTAGCTTAACTCTTAAGTCTTGATTCTTAAACTCCCAAATGCAGATCTTAGTCTTCCACTTTTAGGTGCCGCAAAAAGGCTGATGGTGGTCTGAATTTTTCTATACTGCAGTAACCACACATGTGACTTTTGAATCATCTTCAAGCAGGGGTGAAATCTACTTACCTTCCCTACCAGTTCGGAAGTGCGCGCACCACGTGTGCACCATCATCATATCCAATTTTTGACCCTCTGTGCATGCGCAAAGCTTTCTGTTCATGAGCAAAGGGTCAAAAATGGGTTACTTCTTGGTTAAAACCAGGAAGTAACGATGTCTGGGCGGGTGGGCGGAGCCTTGCACTGCCGCCACTACCGGTTCACCGAACCATACACCACCGCCGCTACCAGTTCACACAAGCCGGACCATACCAGCAGGGTTTCACCACTGTCTTCAAGTCTTTTTCCATGAGAGATACAAGATCCATACAGTTCCACCCGCCTATTCTACCCCTGCAATTTTTCCAGGTTTTCCAAGACAAAAAAGGAACTACAGAGAAAGTCATTTCTGCGTATTTCTTGCAGCAGCAGGAATGAAAAGCAGAGTGATATTTACCAAAGGCCAATTCTAGTTGCCTGACTTTTGCACAACATATATTTGAATGGATTAAATGTTTAAAAAGAAACACATACTTTTCTTTACCTTTTTAGGTTCTGATATGTTAGTAACATAAATTGTGTAGACACCGCTTTTATTAAAACCAGCTTGGTATGCATCTGCGCAGTCTCTGAATGGCTTCTCTTCTTCCTTTTTTGCATTCTTTAGCAAAACTGCAAAACAGAAAATGAATATGATATTGACATCTGCAGTAATAACCCACAGCAAATCTTCAACCAATTGTGGCATTTCTTCCAGTGACAAGGTTAGCCAGTTTACTTTTCCTGGCAGTCTTCTAGACATCAACAGCAACTTGATGCAGAAATCAATAGCATAGTCTGAACAGAAGCGTTTCCGTTCCATTTCTACATGACAGGAATGGAAGCAGGAGCAACTCAAAAATGTGACTTGCCTGTTAATTGTCTTAAAGCTATAGTTAAACTTAAACTAAAGTTGGAGTGTGCAAACTTTTTAAGCTGAGAACGGTTTGAGGCCTTCAAGTGAAATACTAGAGGCCATACTTCAAAGTTAATGAGCTGCATACTGAATACAATTTATCTGATGATTTAACATGCACTTCACATTTTCTACTTTCTATTAAATTGCATGTTACAGTGGCAGAAGTTGGAGTCAACCTTTGGAGAAAACCCTGGGGCTACTTTCAAACTTGTGGGAGGTCACCTGTGGACCCTATCATCTCAGGCTGAGGATACTGGACTAATCACCACATGAGGGATATGGGCAAAAAAGCTACACCTTGAAAATGAATCGCAATTAATTCAGTGAACTTACTTCTAAGTAAACATATACACTAATGAAGAAATTAGTATAACTCATAACTCCTTGTACTTATTCAATTATATCCTTCTTCTAACTGATTATGAATCAAAGTTTCTAACTTAAATGCTTTTTATAGTTTATACCAGAGGTGAAATTCAGCAGGTTCTGACAAGTTCTGAAGAACTGGTAGCGGAAATTTTGAGTAGTTCAGAGAACTGGCAAATATCACCTCTGGCTGGGCCCAGAGTGGGGTGGGAATGGAGATTTTGCAATATCCTTCCCCCAGGAGTGGGGAGGGAATGAAGATTTTGCAGTATCCTTCCCCTGCCATGCCCACCAACCCACGCCCACCAAGCCACACCATGCCCAAGCCACGCCCACAGAACCAGTAGTAAAAAAATTTGAATTTCACCACTGGTTTATACCTATCCAAAAAAAATTCTGTGCAAACTCAGCTAGTACTTGCAGAACCTGCACTTAAAGTTATATAAGAATCTACATTAACCTGAAACTCTCAGTGACTGCAATACAGTACAGATCTAGATCAAGAAACCTAAATATATTATTAACACAAAAGGATGATGATTACATTGCTTACACATACTCTTTCATCTTTATGTGGGGGAAAGTTGAAAAATCAGCTTTTTCATAATGCTTTCTCTGACTCCCTAATATACCTTGATGGAGGGGATTGTTTTGTAGATAGCAAACCTTTTTTTTTTTATCCTATATCAATATAGGATCAAATTTAGGATCAATGTAAAAAAGATTGTGGAAATTTTCAGGCCTTTCCTTCATTTTGATATTTCATTTTGATATTACCTATGGTACTTAAAACTCTAAACTGTTAATTCAGATTATAGAGCTTGCTACTACCATACTTATGTACAATCAATGTGGCATTTGTTAAGACTTATATAAAATCAAAAGATAAATGGGTATTTGTAACTGGTTTGAAATGGCTATAGAAATCAAATAAAAATAAACTTTTTGTACCATTGTTATTTTTTTATTATTAATGTTTAATAAAAAGTTTTGTTTAATAAAACCAATCTGAAAAGGAGAAAGGGGACTATGGGACTTCTAAGAGCCAACAATGTTCTTACACAACAGGGTGCCTACAACTAATGCTACAGAGGAGAATTTAGTGTATATAAGATAAGTCAGTCCTAAGGCTTCTTTATCAGTATTTCTCCATGACTTTAAGATGTGTGGACCTCAACTCCCAGAATTCCCCATGCTGGCTGGAGACTTCTGGAAGTTGAAGTCCACACATCTTAAAGTCACTGAGGTTCAGAAACATAGTTCTTTACTATGCACAACAGCAAAATCATCCTTAGAATATATGCCTAAAGTCAATGGGATCTCCACTCCTATTCCTTCAACACAAGCCTTCTACCGCACAGCTCTCAGTGACCGGTAAGATCCCACAGAGTTGGTCTCCTCGGGGTCCCATCAGCTAGACAGTGCAGGCTGGTGGGCCAGCGGGGGAGGGCCTTCTCTGTGGCTGCTCCAGCTCTTTGGAATCAGTTATCTCCTGAGATCCGGACCATCCCCACCCTATTGGTCTTCCAAAAAGCGGTGAAGACCTGGCTTTTCTGGCAGGCCTGGGGCCGTTGATCTCGCTGTTGCGATCTGGCGAGATCCGGCCATGAATGGTGTGAATGGGTTTTAATTGTTTTTAATGTTTTAATTTTTAATGTTTTTATATATGGTTTTTAAATATGCATTGTAAGCCACCTTGAGTCTTCAGAGAAAGGCAGCATACAAGTTGAACAAATAAAAATAAAATAATACATTCCCAGAAGCTAAAACCCATCACCCAGTATTCACTATGTTCTCTCATGCTGCCAGATAATATGGAATGTACCTGGGACTGCAGCCTGAGGAAAGAATACTCCAGTCCCATACAATAGCTGCCTTCTTTTGAATGACTTTTGGCCAATTTCTTTTCCCACACAAAATTTTTACAGTTAATTTTTTTACAGTTAATATTTCTCTGGGCTGAAAAAGCATTTATCTGCTCAAATCTTACCTCTTTAGATATTTTTAAACAACAGCCCCATGAAGAAAAGTTACATGGGGGTGGGGGAGGATTGATGAGGGTCTCACTGTTCCTTTTGTGTTGATATCAAATGAGTTTCTCAGCATGGTGTGGTAGAACAAAAGCTTTCTTACAGGTGCCTTTTCTTCCCTCAAACCTGGCGTGAAACTGAGCTGCAAGCGATTGATGTTCTTTAAGGAATCGGATGCTTTTTCTTTCTCTCCACTTCACACTCTGGGTCTATGAGCATGTGAACAAAGGACGATGTTTGCTTTGCTGGCAAAATGCCAACCTGTAATTACTCCAGGATGGAGCCATTTCTTCTTTTTTTTTTTCAACCAAGTCAAAGGGCTTCCTATGCCAAGAGTCCACTGCACCTGGATTGAACTACAATGCCGCTTGCCAAATGCTCCACAGCTGGGCCCTAACTAGCCACCCCCATCAGCAGGCATTTCCCAAGAAAAAGTCTGCTGGTCAACAGGCAGCTTTAGCTTAGACTCCATGCTGAATATCCTTTCGTGGAGAGAAAAAAAAAAACTGTAGTCATTAATTGGACATTCAGGAAGGAAAAACATATCTCAGTGAGAAAGCATGTGCTTTGTAATCTTATGGTCCTAAGTTCAGGCCTAGGGCTCTCTAGGTAAAGCAGAGGTCTTCAAACTTGGGAGCTTTAAGACTTGTGGACTTCAACTCGAAGAATTCTCCAGCCAGCATAGCTGGTTCTGAGCAGGGATGAAATCCAGCAGGTTCTGACAGGTTCTGGAGAACCAGTAGCAGAAATTTTGAGTAGTTCAGAGAACCGGCAAACACCACCTCTGTCTGGCCCCAGAGTGGGGTGGGAATGAAGATTTTACAATATCATTCCCCCAGGAGTGGGGTGGGAATGGAGATTTTGCAGTATCCTTCCTCTGGAGTGGGATGGGAATGGAGATTTTGCAGTATCCTTCTCCAGGAGTAGGGTGGGAATGGAGATTTTGCAGTATCCTTCCCCTGCCATGCCCACCAAGCCACACCCATCAAGCTACACCGTGCCCACCAAGCCACGCCCACAGAACCGGTAGTAAAAAAAATGGATTTTACAACTGCCTCTGAGGTAAATTTTCTGAAGCCTGGAAATACCTCCTTGTAGGCATCTACTGGGCTAGATGGACTACTGGTTGAATAGAAGAAATGGCTGCATAGTTCTTAGTGACTTCTTTACATTTTCTGCATAAATCATCTCAGAAGAGTCACCTTCCTAGCCTCCATTGCACACAACATTTGCATTTTGCTTTGAGTTTGTTTTCACAAAAAGCTTTTCACACAGCTGGGAACTTCCGGCTTTTCAAGAGTGACATAAAGTCTTCAAACAAAATGACAGGTCCCTATTTCAATTTCTTCCACTACAGATGATTCTGGTTCAAAAGGTGTTCCTAGGACACATTGGTTTTCCTAGTAGACCATAATCAAATAGAAAATTCCAACTACACACTCAAAGTAATATAATAATCAGCATAATGCTTTGCCCAAAATTGTTCCATAGCCATTTAATTTCATAGTGATTTGGAGTCTTTAAAACAAGGTATCAGAAGAGCTATGAAAACAAAGGCATAAGTATATCAGCTCTCTCCAGTGTAATATCAGATGCATTTTTACTAGAACTATAGCATTCTTAGTTGGAGAGATTGGCTGGTAATTTTGGAAGCTGTAGTCTAAACATATTTGGAAAGCCACCAAGTCAACAAAACTATTGTATAGGGATTGTTAAATACTGAATGAAAGTTAATTAACCTGAAGAAGATAATCAATTTGGAAATTGAATAATTATTTATAAATTGGTCTCTTTGTGTTTTTGAATAATCTCAGTAACCATTCTACTAATTACTTTGCAGATGATTCCCATTTTTTATTGAAGATAGGTTGGTGATGTAGCTGATCAAGTCTGATTATTATAATTATTCCTTAGAATCACCTCATCAATTAAATTCTAAGAAACATCTTGGAATGAAGTTTTCTAATGTCAGGTGGGAGAAATCAGGACCTTGTGTTAAGTTCCAGTTAAACTGATTTTTTGCTTATTCCTATACACAAGAATCTATTCAACTAATAGTCAGCACTAAATTGGCACTAGGTCAGAGTTAACAGAAAGGGACACAGTGGCTCAGTGGCTAAGATGCTGAGCTTGTCGATCGAAAGGTCGGCAGTTCAGTGGTTTGAATCCCTAGTGCCGCGTAACAGGGTGAGTTCCCGTTACTTGTCCCAGCTTCTGCCAACCTAGCAGTTCGAAAGCACGTAAAAAATGCAAGTAGAAAAATAGAGACCACCTTTGGTGGGAAGGTAACAGTGTTCCGTGCGCCTTTGGTGTTTAGT